TCCAGAGTGCTCAGGACCTCAGACTGGAACTAAGGTTTACCTTCCAACAAGACAATGACCCTAAGCACACAGCTAAAATAACGAAGGAGTGGCTTCACAACAACTCTGTGACTGTTCTTGAATGGCCCGGCCAGAGCCCTGACTTAAACCCAATTGAGCATCTCTGGAGAGACCTAAAAATGGCTGTCCACCAACGTTTACCGTCCAACCTGACAGAACTGGAGAGGATTTGCAAGGAGGAATGGCAGAGGATCCCCAAATCCAGTGGATATAACCTTGTTGCATCTTTCCCAAAAAGACTCATGGCTGTATTAGATCAAATGGGTGCTTCTACTAAATACTGAGCATTTTTCAGTTTTTCTTTTTTAATAAATCTGCAAAGATGTCAACAATTCTGTGTTTTTCTGTCAATATGGGGTGCTGTGTGTACATTAATGAGGAAAAAAAATTAACTTAAATGATTTTAGCAAATGGCTGCAATATAACAAAGAGTGAAAAATTTAAGGGGGTCTGAATACTTTCCGTACCCACTGTATATATATATTATTCAGTAATGACAAATTTAATTGACTTAAAAGATCAACTAAATTGATACAAATATTTAGGTAAAATAAATGCTGTTTTGTTTGTTTGTTTACTTTATATTAATCGAAGACTCCTCAAAAATGCAATTATATTAAGCAGGACAGATGTTTCCATCATAAAAAGATAATAAGAACTGTTTCTTGATCATTAAATCAGCATATTAGAATAAGGATCATATGACACTGAAGACTGGATTTTTAATCAAATAAATACAGCCTTGGTGAGCATAATAGACTTCTTTCAAAAACATTTAATAATCTTACCAAACTTAAACGGTAGTGTAAATGTGAACTATAGCAATTGCAACCCATTTTACCATAATCCGTTGTGTTTCATACTTCTGCCTTTTAGCCATGACTATATTCACAACACAGCACCGCCTCCTGTAAACCATCCCTTTACAGTACATTTACCACTGTCTTATGTATGTAAGGATTCCATGATGTACGTCACAGATGCTTATTTTCAGGTACGCCATCACAGCACAGTTTTTATGAACATAGACAGAGCGTGAAGATTTAACATTCACCAGCAGGCTCCACTCCAAATGAGCTCCATTAATATTTTAATATTTTAATATTTTAGGGACTGTGATATTTCTGGGAGAACAGTGAAACTGCCACGACCTCCTGGTCATGAAAATTAACAACCCGCTCAATATGCCGTCTCTTCTTTCCACACACACACACACACACACAGACACACACACACACACACAGACACAGACACACACACACACACAGACGCACACACACACACACACACACACACACACACAGACACACACACACACACTCATGATTCTGTCTGAGCTATGCGTTTTAAAACGAACACTAACTAGTGTAAATGTAGCCTAACAGATGTGTAAACTGAAGACTATTTGAGCTTTATTAAAACTATTTTGCACTGATTTATTGTGTTGGTTACATTTTGTTCTTTTGTGCAGTGGCTCAGGAGATGAGTCTTTGAGTTTGTATAAACATCAACAAGCTGAAAAATAAAACCAAAGTTTTTTTGTTAGATAATGTAATCTTGTTAAAATTGATTTCATAAAATTGGTATCGAAAAAAGTATCGTTCAGGAACCGGTATCGAAGTCAAGGTATCGGTATCGATATCGAAAATTTTTGAACGATACCCAGCCCTAGTCACAATCCAGCAAGACAACCCCACCCGAGTCAGAGCAAAGATTTCTGTAAGTCAGCGCAAGGAAACAAAGACAAAGCGACAGCTACAGGTCCACAAACGGCTCCAGTCGAAAATGTACAAAATAAATAAAAACACAAGAGAACCGAACCCTTGTATTATAAGCTCCTAAAAACAGAGATTGCTTAAACAGAGAAATGCCATGCTTTTCTTGCTTTAAACATCATATGTTTATTATTAAGACACAGCGTGTCATTTCTGCCAAAAGAATTGCGAAATAAAAAGTTTAATTAATAAATATCGAATTCAATAATAGTGATATTTTATAGATTAAAATTTTCATAAATATTACATTATATAATAGTATAAGTTTTACCAGTGTCTGACAGCCCAGACATTTAAAGTATACTGCCATTCATAAGTAAGGTCAGTTTTTCATTTTTAAGAAATTAATATTCTTTATTGAGCAAGTAGACATTTAATTTATTGAAAAGATCAAATTAAAACAAATCGATACAAAATATTTATTGCAGTAAATCAGTATATTAGAATGATTTCTGAAGGATCATGTGACACTGAAGACTGGAGTAATGATGCTGAAAATTCACATTTACTTACATTTTAAAATATATTAAAGTAGAAAACAGTTGTTTTAAATTGTAATAATTTTTCACAATATTAGTGTATATCCTGTATTTTTTTAAGAGACTTATT